GTACCCCTCAAGATTACATTAATGAATTGATCATTTGGATATTGAACCCGCCAGTCGTTTCAAGAATGCAATAATGAATTGATTATTTGATTATTGAACCCACTAGCCGTTTCACGAATGCAATAATGCATTGATTATTTGAATATTGAACCCGAAAGCCGTATCCGTTTTGAAAAGGCGTGGATCATTGTTCAAATTAGAAGTCCATTTCTGATGTCCAACAAGACTGTTCTATTTGACGACGAATCCTGAAAATGAACAAACTGCACTGTAAAAACACTGCGAAACAGTCGATCGCAAATAGTAACGAAATTAAAAAAAAGTCTAGCGATGGCTTCGCCCGTAAACTATTTTTTCGACCTTGAATACGCACAAGAATTTCTACAAGTTCGTCAAGATGTAAATAGGCGAAAAAGCTCTCGATAACATTCCATTTACAACATTTACAAGAAGTTCTACACAACATTCGAACTCACCTTTCCCGCCAAGTCTGACGCCATGTTGAAATAGTTCCGATCCATCATCACGTGTTCGCATAATCCAATCAGAAATGGACTTCTGATTTGAACAATGATCCGCGCGTTTTCAAAACGAATACGGCTATCGGGTTCAATATTCAAATAATCAATCCATTATTGCATTCTTGAAACGGTTAGCGGGTTCCATGTTCAAATATTCAATTCGTTATTGTGCTCCTGAAACGATTAGCGGGTTCAATATTCAAATAATCAAATCATTAATGTAATCCTGAGGGGTATGCTTCACTTAGTTTGACTGTAAAGGTCACAGAATAAGCTCTCGAGTCAATGACACTACGATTCACTAAAGCGATGCCGATTATGGACCTAATGTGAAAACTGAACTTTCGGACTTAAGCAGGGCCTACCGACAATTTAACGGTTCAATGGCTTAGTAAATATTATGTTTGAGTAACAATGTGTTCAAAAAGTATTGTTTGATAGAATATTTTCTGTCAAATCGTAGTTTTTTCAGAATTTTCAACATAACGCTACACAATTTTCTGGTCGTGACCATTTAACTTTTGAGGGGGTGGGGTGGATGATTTCTGGTCATCAAGAAATTTTTTTCTAGCAATCTGCTGTGCAGGATATTTTTTTCCCTTCTGAATGCAATTTTTATCTTCCAACAAGTGCTTGCGGGAAACTTTTTTCAAAATCACCCACCCCCCTCAAGAGTTAAATGGTCGGCCCCTAAGCATGATGAATTTTACCGCGTGGGCTTTGTACACTTAAGAAATTGGTACGTTTTTCGCCCATAGCAGCAAATCAAGAACTGTTTTGAATAAACTGTCGTCCCGAATTATTACTTGGCCATTTTCGTCTTGCTTCTCATTGATAGATTCCATGGAACTTGAGATCTCTTCCTTCTCTGACAAATTTGCATATTCCCTTTTGAGATATGATCTGGATGCCTTTTGCACACATGCGAAAATATTTAGCGATTTTCATCTTGATTTTTTAGTTAAAACTTAACATGCACCTATCGCTTATTTCGTCTGAAATAAGTTCTTTAATTTTTTTTTTCACTGGAGCTTAATTTGGGAAAAGATGATTTGAAAATTATACTGCGCGTAGTGTTCGCTTTTCCTGGTTTCTCCAAAATTTTGACTTTGCGTAGGTACGTGTTACACGTAGGTGTCGATGGGTTAACTTCCAAATAATTGGTAATAACGTTCAAAATTTCTTCAGTCCTAACTACAAGCCTGACAGACTTAGAGGTAATCTAATATCTATTAGCAATTTCACACTACTATAGAACAGAACTTCAGAGAATGAATAGTTATCTAGACAGTCTTTTTCATGATGTCCCATGAAGAGGTTTGCAAGTACTGGAGCAAGTGGGGACCCCATGGCAACCCCATCTATTTGATCATAAAACACACCCTTAAACAAGAAACCAGTCTCAGCTGTTGCGAAGGTAAAAAGCGTTTTTAGGTCAGCGGCGTTTATCTTAAGACCAGGGTTACCTTGATAAATGTATCTGATCGCCAGATCAATGCATTCATCAAGAGGTATACTAGTGAACAAACTCTCAACATCGAAAGATACCATGAACTTCCCTGAGGTTGATAACTGGTTGATTTCATGTACNAGTTGTTGTTTCCTTTTTGAAAGTAAGTTTTAAGTTTTACCTGTAGGTGGCAGCGTGGGTGAGGGACTTTGTAAGGACTGTTAAACGCCCTTATATCGAGTTATCCAATTCAGCATAATCCTATATTTTTAGGGGTGACCCACAAAAGCATAGTGCTTAGATTTTTACTATTATATACCTTACCTTCACTGCTACACTATTCCATTAGTCACACTCGAAAAAAACCTTGCAAATGTTTTAGCGTGCGCGGGCACGTGCTTGTGCTATGTAACATTGGGTATTTTAGAGTCTAATGGAGTCTAGTCAACGTTTTGATTTGCTTGAAGTCCTCAAGGTGAAAATTTTAAAAAGTTAACAAATTTCTCCTGCATGTTCAGATGTTGGAGGTCCGATGGAGGAATTTGTACCTCATTAGGAGGTCTCAAGCCGCATGAAACGAAAGAAAAGGAAAGAAAAAAGCTAAGTATCCTTGTTGTAATTTTCCGACGAGAATTTAAGAACGACTGAAAGAAGAGAACAAGGTCAATGTTAAGAACTTACTTTCCCAACTTTGCACAGCATATCCTCCAAATATGTAATTTCCATTCTTGACCGCTGTAACTGTTGGTCCTTTGTTATCACAACAGGAGTGAAAGTTGGAAGCAGCCCAACCATCTCTAGAAGCTCGGTACAACAGCTGCTCATTGGTGTTAGGAAAGCCCGAGGTGTTTTTTAACCAACTCATCAAAGTCTGGCCATGAACGGACAAGAGAATCACTGAATCCTTGAACGGTTGAACCACAATCGGCTCAACTACTGGAACTGCCGGTGACTTTGGTTGCAGGTCGTTTATCATTCCTTCAACTTGATAAAATTTGGCCCCTGCCAACAGTTCTCTGCGAATGATCTCATCATTTGGGACGATAAGCTGCCCCGTGCGAAGATAATTCAGGATATAACGGAAGTGTGTTCCATCTCGATCAATGAAGTAAGATCCATCCTCGCCGGGTTTTGTGTCAAATCTGCCTGAAAACATGGCGTGTACCATGGAACCTGCATCAAGGTGGAAGAAAAACATATCATATCTGATCATCGGGCAAATTTTCCAAATGACACTTTCACTGTTGTGTGAGAGAGAGGTGGGGGTGGTTGGAACATACCCCTTCTGTCTTTAATGCGTTTGAACATTGTGTTACCTTACAATCATTAAGTAGTTTGTATGAAATTACGTATTATGCATATTTTGAAAAGGACGCTGCTAAATTTTCACGTCGCCAAAATGGCTTCTTGTTCCCTCTAAAGCCGTTTTTCTCCCCGAGGCAGTACAATTGATGCGTTGAATTTAAAGTCCAATCGAGAACATTTGCTCTATGATAAAACGTATTTGTGACAAATTCCAACATGAATTAAATAAAGGAAATGATCGTCAACTTAGGAAGGTCTTGATTTTCGAACAAGGTTTTGTTGTCAGTGCCATAAGAAACGTATAGAACCTACAACTGTATAGAGAAAATGCATTCTGATTTTAGAATGTAAAGAGCTAAACGTAACTGCTTTGTAATCTGCTTAGAAGAGTCATTCTTTACTGTCAAACAAAAGTGTCTGTAACTTTTTTTCTTGGAATTCATAAAGACAATTCAAATTGGATATTTCAAACGTTTAACGACATTTATAAGTTAAACATAGCGGGCATGTTGCCCAATATAAGTCCTATTGAACCGCTATGAACAAAATCTTTATTTAGGCACGCCCGAGCGTAAATAATAAGATGACGCGAGCTTTTTTTTTTTTTTTACCTGGCTGTCGTCCTGTAAGCTGCAGTGCAGTTTTCCTTCTGTTTAAAATATGGAAGAAACCAGCGAAGAACTGCCCAATTTTTACTAAAGGCATTGACCTTTTATTTAAGTCCTGATCCAAAAAGTAGCAAATACAAACCCTTGATAACTGTTCGGCCCCGTGTCTTTGACTTTTAAAACATTTTATAGTGACACTTGAGTTAATTTCGTTTTGGTTTTATCCATTTTATATCCCATTAATTTTGAGCTTTTTAAATATATTCGCAGTTCTTGGTTAACTGGATCAATTGTACTCGCTCAAACCAAAGTATAAAATGTGGCATGGTTTTTACCAGCCATTATTATATGGCTGTGTGTCTCACAAGGACTGGGAACTACCGAATTCACGAGTTTGATTGGCTGAAATCAATATTGAAAGCGGTCTAGATTTTCCCATCTAGACCGGCATCTAGACCGGTCTAGAAAAAAANTTCGCAGTTATTGGTTAACTGGATCAATTGTACTCGCTCAAACCAAAGTATAAAATGTGGCATGGTTTTTACCAGCCATTATTATATGGCTGTGTGTCTCACAAGGACTGGGAACTACCGAATTCACGAGTTTGATTGGCTGAAATCAATATTGAAAGCGGTCTAGATTTTCCCATCTAGACCGGCATCTGGACCGGTCTAGACAAAGAAAGTACAAAGAATATAAAAGATTGGCATACATGACACAGCCATATAATAAACATATTAACCCAGCTAGGTCGGTCTGTATGGGAGAATCTTGACCTCGGTCGCTGGTACAGACCGAACGCAGTGAGGTCTGTACTGGCAACCTCGGTCAAGATTCTCCCACACAGACCTCCCGCTCGGTTAATGAGAACTAAATAAGGACGTACTTTTTTGTACGTCGTGAGAATTTTGTACTCTATCACAATAGAAAAGCTTCTTCGCGTAAATCCTTGTTATCGCTCTGTTATAAAAGATTTTCCCCTGCTTTTAACTGTACGTATATAGAGTTACGGATGCACGCTGGAAGTTTGGAGAGCCCTCAAAAAGCTAGAATAGCTCTCGGCTGCGCCTCGAGCTACTCTTACGCATTTTTCGTGCTCTCCAAACTTCCCACGTGCACCCTAACTCGATATACGCACGCTAAGCTAAGCATGAACAAATTCTTCAATATCCCAGTAAGAGTCGTTAGTTTGCGAATGAGCCATTCCTTCAGCAAAACGCTTTAAAGTGAAAGTGTTAGCTTCCGTCACGAATCATGTTAAAATTTCTCGCGCTTGTTTATCTTTACCCCTTTAGTGTTTGTATGCCTTGCCAAATAATTGAACACCGGCAATTTCCTTTGCCGAGCCTTTCATGTCTCCATTAATGGCAAAAGCGCAGCAATCAACAGGCTTCTTAAGGTGGCTCGTACTGGTTTTCGTCTTTTTGATGGTTTGTAACTTTGAAAGAATACAACAGAAAGACTGACCAAGGCCAGTTGAACACTTTTACGGGGTTGAATTATATAATTATTGGTTATCCAAAAATAGGTGTCATTTCGTCACTAGCAGTTTCCATGGCAACGCTTTCATAGGCTTATTCAGAC